TACCCTGAAAGACAGGCAAACAGCAGCATACCTATCACCTCCCACTAAGAAAATATCATCGGCGTCGCCTATTTTCCGGTCAAAGACCGCTGTGACAATATCCCTAACCATGATCATGACGTTCTTCAAAGTCCATAGCTGCGGAATAACAACGTCCGTCTGCGACACCTCATCGACAGTCTTATATAAAGATTCGATTTCTTGCTCGTATGCTTTCAACACGGCATTGCGTCGCAGAGTGCCTTTTGCAGTGAGCTCGAGAGGCTTTGCCGGGTTCGCAACAATGATCATCTTCAATAAGAATTAAAGAATGATACTGGATGAGTGACGAAGAAGGCCCACCTCTTTGTAAATTCTGGAATGTTGAGGTGCCTGCTCATTGACTTTCGTGACAGTATCCCTGTCGGTTTCAAAATAAGAGAAATTCGAGAAGAGAGGAAATGAGGCCTAACCAGATGCTGGCTCGGTATTCTGCCAGTCGGACAGTATCACTCGGGTCAAAGGCTTCCTCCGGAGTGGGCAAAATAAGAACGCCCGGCTGGAATTTGGAACGACCAAACATCATGGCTGCCGCGATACGCTTATCCATGACTAGGCCAACCTCTTTATTCAGTAGCATTAGCGCAAGCCCATGTATATCACTGCCTGCTCACCAATAGGAACAGGGTTTGTCTACAGAAAATATTTAGCCGCGAGCAATGAAAGTACTAAGTATCCTCACTTTTTCCTGTAAAGCAAAGGGGTAAAATGAGATGAGAATGTTACAGATATCACGCAAACACTGACCCCTGTGCTGTGCATGATCTGCTCATCTATGAACCAACGTGAGGACCTTGGATCGAAGTTAAAGTGTCGACTCACCAGCACGTCCATAGACCTTGAATAAATTCTGGTTCGAAGGATGTAGCTGCACCAAGTCTTTCGTGTCGAAGGCTTTGACTCCATCAATTTCAGAGTCAAAGACTGCAGGCGAGTGTAATGGACTGTCCTAAGATCCGTGCTGCACTGTTAGCTACAGTATGAAGCCCAGCCGATACTAACCTACCTTTACGTACAAACGGTAGATATCCTGCTCGTCTGTTGGTACAAAAGCAACGTCGATATTTCTCGCCACCTACGGAATGTGTTACAGCGAATGATCAATGATATTCGGAGACGCTTACCCTTATCCACTCCCATCCTTCATCAGGAATCTTATCTATTTAGCAGTTAAATAGAGCCATAGAAGGAGAGGAACAATACGCGTACTAGGCATTACCATAGATACTGCAGATTCAGTGCTACGGACGACATAAGCAGTTTATAGTCGTTTAGAAAATATGAAGACTCACAGTCCATAGACAGAGAGTAGCAAGATACCGTTTGCGACGAGGGTATCACCAGCATCCTTCTCTAAAGGACCACCACCATAAACCTCAAGAGACAATAAGCGGCAGCTATCTGACTGTGACACAATGACCTACAACTGCGGTGGTAGCTTTCAAAACCTCAATGGCCTGTGGGTCCCGAGCCCATTCCTATGACGCATGTTAGCGATGCAATCTGATATTCAATGACCGGTCTCATACCACCAGAAACGAAGGAATGGTGATGACTACGGTTGTTTCGGTATTAATTATGCTAGATAGAAGACGTTCAGTTGTTGGTATCACCGGCGGCTCTAGCGGAGGGAAGCAGGCCATAATAGAGCCTGTTGCGGTCTGGCCAATAGATATTAATAATGTGAACAAGTATATGTGAAATTACACACCGAATTCGTGATAGAAACAAAGCCCATTATGTCTGAAATGCGGCATCAGCATTGTGGAAACCCAGGATACGTATGAAATAGACACTAACGATACAAAGGAGTTACTTGGGATCCGTGCACTTGGCCACATAGGTCCATATCTCCGTAATCTGCCAAATATTGAGCTCAAACAAACACAACAATCTGAATACCCTTACATGGTCTCACAGCGTGTTGCAACAAGTTCCTGTGTGTGGCATAGATGGGACTGGGAAAGCGCGTTGTCCCTGATGAATGCATAATGAGCGCCGTCTGGGACCAATCAGGCCGTACGAGAGGAAGTGGTTCATATGCCCCCGGTTTTGCAGAGAAGAGATCGCTGAAACGGGGCATTGGCATGGTAGTGATCTTGTCGTCAACATTAGCTTCCCAGAATTGATGGCAGACCATGTCGGCCACTTTTTGCAAGGATACATCCTGGCCGACGACTAGATGTCTTGAGTTCGTGGACTTTAGCAGATGGGCAACGGCGGCAGCGGAATTACGAATTGAAATGGGGAAAGGAATGAACCCGAGACGCATCAAGCCAGTGATTACTGCAAAGTAAGTGATTGAATCTGGAGAGCACCTTCAGAAACTTGATTCTGTAAGGGGCGCACGGATAGGCTTACTGGTATTGGCTAAAATACCGATGGTGGCGGGAGCTTCGCTGTAGATGTGTTTCTTGAAGTAGTGTCCGGCGGTATGGACGGCGGCGACGCCCTCCTCCCAAGAGATGGTATGAAATCCACCATTGTCAAGGACATCGTAACGAAACAAGGGGTGCTTTGGGCTATGAATGGCATTATAGTCGAGTAATTCTGGGAATGTTAGCGACCCATCTAGCGGAGGAGCTTTGAAGGTTGGAGACTCAACCCCTTGGGGAGTTGGTAGTGACATTTGAAGTTAACGCTAAGGTCTGAACGCCTCATCTGTACTTATATGATCTGCAGTAGGCTATTCCCATGGTGTCAAGTCTGTCGACATAATGAGTGCGTGAATGCCGTATTTTCCGAGCACCGGTGTCTCGCGCGCTGTCACTCTGGGACTTAATACGAAACTGTAAAGCGTCAGCTGAGAGAAAAAGCCCGTAGATAAGAGTTTCCTTACCTGCTGGCCTTCTTGATCGACAGGCGTGTGGGATTAATGTACACTGCATAATAAGAACTTCCATTTGGACGGTGTTATTTTTGAACATCGCTAAAGTACTAAGGCGACTGCAGTCATCGTCATTGACATAAGGGCTGAGAGCTGGTAACGTGTGGGCATTGAAATTTGTCCCCCTTGTTGTCGCCCTTCGATAGTAGGCTACGCATTGGGACCTGCACAAAATAAGAACTAAAGAAGTAAATGTTTGAATGGCACTCAACACTCTGGGGAAGACGAGCAAGACTCTTCCGTGCTCTCCATTGTGCCATCTCCTGCCGACGGAGCGAGTTTTCCGTAATTATTCTTCTTGGGTATTTCCGGTCGCGCGGTAGTTTACGTCGTTTGTCAATGAGGTCTTGCAGTGGCCTTGTCAAGCAGAGACCGATACTCGAAACTATTTACGGCAGATCCATCGTTGGCGAAGACAGGAAAGAAAGGGTGATTGCTTATATAATCGACGCGTCTGAAGCAACTAAGAAATAGATGCAAATAACGCGTCTTTCAATTACTCGCCAATTACTTACTGGTAACTCCTCGCAATAAATGCACGTACTCCGTGAGTACTTCGTGTCCTCAGGTCTCAGAATTTCACGCGGCAACAGCGGAAAAACCTCTGATTTATACTCAAGTGTGTGCGTGCTCGCCAATTCCGGGTTCCACGGCGTTCACTCATACTGGCACCGATGGATTTGAGGGCCCAGGCAATTATATCTAGGCCGGCATTTCGACTACTGACCTACTATTTTTCTGCGAAGAAGCAACGTTTGTTTACTCTAACTGATATTACAAACCAGACTCCAAGCCGGAAGAATTTATCCGTGATTCGTCTATCGTGCGAATATGCTAATAATAGTTATCTCTTCCATTCTACGTGGTGTTCGAATATAAACACAATCCCAAGGGGTTCAGACTCTCTCCAATATTTCAAAGCGTTCATCTACATTGCGGCAAACAGCGGGCCGGTGATTCCAGTCTGTGTATCACGCACATTGATACTTACCCTTCGCTCTGCAGGCGTCCTACTATAGACTCGACCATCACTTGGGACTTTGCGGCTTTCTTTGTTGGCATTTGTGCCGGACCTTTTGTACACTACCAGAATGTGAGTAATTCTATTGGCGGCCAGCTCTCGACTCATTGCTATGATGTGTCGCTCCAGTATATAAGCGTCGGTCAAGGCGAGAAGGCCTGTAACAGAGTACGCTCTTTTGGCTTTGACTCTTGAACTGATCAGATCGTTCCTGCTGCAGAAAGTTATGATTATCATTCTTATGTATTGGCTGACTTGTATATTTAATGAATGCAGCAGTGTCGGTTCCCGAACTCTCTGTCCATTAAAATCGATCTCCTATCAGCTTTCGTTTCCTGTCCCATTCCAGAGAACTTGTCCTCGACAAGTCGAGTCAGAACCAGCGAAACGTTGGCTGGACTATTATCTGATACCTTTCGGATGTTCAGGCCCTTCTCTACCCTGATCAACAGATACTTCGCCAGCTCTTTGCTATGCTTCACACGCTGTGTGCTCGGTGCTTGTTGGATGTACTACGAGCCAGAATCAAGTACCTCCCACGGTAGTCCGTGTTCCCAATATCTTGTCCTTCAAGCTTCTTCCGTTAGTGGAACCTAGTACGAAGTGCACACTTGTCAATCGTGTTTGAACCTTGGTTCGTCCAGTTACTTTGTGTAAGAATATGTCGGAATTGAATAATTACATGTCTTCTGTTGCAGATGAGAAATCCGTACTCACATTTGTTTACAACTACATGAATGGCGTCGTTGATGCTGCTACCTCACGAACTAGTTATAGAGGAAATATGATACTTGGCCAATCCTTCATGACCATACAGTGCTTGTACACAGGCTCGATAAAATGCATTAATGTTATCATAGGTTTGAACCAACCTGCTTATCCATAAACAATTTTGAGATGGTTATCCTGCCCCGGTTTAATTTTGTTGAATTTTTGAATCATAACGCCTTGTGATATTCGATCAACGCTGTAAATTCAAATCAAGGAGAAAACACTTTGGAATGTATTTATTGATTTAAAAATTTTCAACGGATAGAAAGGTGTGGATTGGCGCTACCTGGCTAGGAGTCGAACCCAGTTTTCTCGCAGACACCAAAATCTGCGAATGCACTTGTGACAGGCGCGTGTACTAACCGATAAACTACCAGAGATAATTTTGATATGCTTTAGTATGATGATAATGGTATCCATTAAAGTATCTCGGACCCTTTTATGGGGTCCAAGTTGCACTACGTGAGCTCGTGTCTCTACTGGGAAGTGCTACGGCGTGGGCTATACTACTGTACATATGTGTCATAACTGTATGTAATGTATCATGGAGAACGTTTGCGTTGTATACTAAAAGGGTTGGGCGCTTGTGCATAAGGGTAGGTCATCTGAAAGTGAGATGGGTTTCCGCACAGCACGCTGCGGCTGGGTGCTGGGGTGTTCAGTCCGTTTCGCATGTTTGAGTTGTTGCATTTGTAGGACTGGGGTATCGCATTTGGATGTAGCTCTCTTGGTCTGGTTATTTTAGTATCATAATGATCTCAATGACACAGAAGTCAAGTAGTCTCTTACTCTGCTGATACATAGGAAATAAAATTTCCAGGCCTTATGCGGACACTTCACAATCAGATGTCGTTTGAATTTCGCGTGCTGCAAATGGTTGTTTACCTGAGTCAATAAAATCCTTTCATAAATGCATCTACGTGGCACATCAAGGAATACGCGATGATGTAAAATAAACGGTTTGGAGCCACCAGAGATTGACTCTAAAATTGAGCGCCTATCTTCCACCAAGAAACTGCGCGGGAAGAACTGAGCCTTGAGCGTAAGAGGGAGAGAGGAGGAAAGCGCACAGTCTATGACATCGTACTTCAATCGGGATTTATCCCGAGAAGACGGTCGGTCCAGGGACCTAAAACGCGGCAACTTAACACTAGATTTGAGATCAACTGAGCCTAGTATACTCACCGTATAAGCCGTGGGCGTAGGGTAATAAATGTCTGGAACTAGGTTAGTGACCTCTTTGACGAGCATTGGGTTGAATACTCACTAACGGTGAGTCCGGCATCTGTAACAGGCGGACGGATTAATGATTGATAGCTCTCGATAGTATTGACTCACCATCAGCGTCCACGTATCCAGGAATCTTAACCATATCAGGGCTAGCTGATCCTCCGTTTGTAATGGAGATTTGCGCGCAAGAGATGTACCATTGAGGCGCTCCCGTTGAATGGAGACCGATCTACGAACTTAGCTCTCCTACAATGCCGGCTTGGATGGAAGACTCACCTGCTCAATACGGGCGAGGTACTAATGTCCATAGATCAAAATGATGCACCAAGTATACAGAGGGACGAACTCACTTCCCCAGAAGGAACACTGGAAGGAATAGTAGCATTGAGGGCGCTGGCGCCGTAGTCAATGAAAGAGAACGAAGGCTGGAATTTTGCTCCCCATTCGGCGATCTACCGCTCAGTAAGTCGGGGACAGACCGAAAAGAAGAAACAATAATCAACCTTAAACCAGTTGGCACCGCTTCCATCCCATTTGGCAGCAGTCGAGGGGGCCTTGCCAAGGTAAAGTGCAGCAGGACCTTGATGGTAGATCGTGTTGTCGAGTTGGAATCCAATCATGTCACCAGCAGCAACGGAAACGGTCGCAGTGGCGTCGGCTGGACTAACGTTGCATGTTATATCGTCTAGAAATGGGTCAACTGGGATGACACCGTTACAGTGGGAGAATTGTGCAAACTAGAAGTCACGTCCAGGACGGGGGAGTTGCTCCGAGGCTGGCGAACCGCCGCATTGGAGACTGTGTTGCCAGCGACAAGAGTGGTCCAGATATCTGTGCCGATGTTGTCAAAGACACGAACGGTAGAAAAATATAATCGACGCACAATGCGCAGAAGCGGCCTGGAAGCCGGAAAGAAGGGCGAGAAAAGCGAAAGCGACCTTCATTGTTCAACAAGATTGAGCGAGAAGTAAAAGGGCTGTAAAGAGATGGGATTGGTGTTTGTAGAGGCATTTTGGCGAGTTTTTATACAAGTTTGGGGGTTTCTACACAGGTATGTCGTATAGCAACAGGCAGCCGAAACACTTTCATATTGCGCGAGCTTATTCCGACGCAGGTCGACGGCGCGTAACAGAAGCAGGTGGTTGTGATTGGAGTTCCAGAGTGACCTAAATGGCGTATCTTTGTTGATTAGGTTGCTATCAGTGCACGAAGGAAGAAAACTACCAAAACGACGTCGCTCTGAAGCTTGCAGAACGCCTAACACGAACGTATCCGATATAAACAAGCTTGAGGGATAGCAGAAGTCGTCGTTAGATTTTCCGTCGGGCGCCATGTGGCTATAATTGCAGTTGTAACTCAGGCAATCACAAATGACGAAAATTTTTCGTTTTGCGAGATGTGCCTGTATCCAAGAAATTGAGCTCATGGAGCATTGATGGGACAGATACCGAAGGATACGGAGGAGGCTTGTGTCCGGTCGCTCTCATGTGCCAATCATCGTAGTAGTGGCCGAAGGGCCTTGGCGATGGACGACATCTAGGCAGATAATTCTGGTTTAGATTTGTTAAAGGACCACAGAACTCGCGCCGTCCGCAGAAGTCTGTCTGCACATAAGAACGTTTTTGTCCGTAGCTATGGCTATCAGAAAACCATCGTCTTTGGATTGGGAATGCAGGGTAAACCTGATAATCGGGTGGTTAAGCCGAGAAACAAACGTCGCAATGCTCTCGGGGGAATATCCACTGCCTGTCCTTGGTAACACAAGCATGATGCCCTCGCTACGGAAAATTTGCGCACTTGGAGGGCACAGTCGCGCTCAAGTTTATCTGCTCCACCCTCAGCCTTCCATAATTCGCCTGGTAGACCCCCGTAGTAGAGCAAGACAGCAATCACGAGAGCTATCCCGATTCCTGCCGGGCTTCCATCGAAGATCAAGATTCTGTGAGACTAGTCCGGCCACGGTGTACTAGATACCAAGAGATGCCTAGAGAATAGAAAGAGCACGAGCATGAGGATTTTAGAGCTTGTTCGCCTAGAAAGAATCAAAAAAAGGTTCTCCTTCCAGTATTTTTCCGAGCTCGTCTGGAGTACGAAGTCTGCGGTCTTCATTTCCGAAGATTCTGTGAGGCAGTATGGACTTGTAAGCAATTCAACTGTGCATATGGGAAAGAACGGATCAAGAAAGTACTCTCCCAGGTGTTTAGATCAGAAAATGAGGACATAAGGCGGGTAAACTGCTGACCATTGTCCGCTCGCACCTGGAGAAACATTGGATGAAGACCACTCAAGCATGTCACAGGCCTTACCTGTGAAGGGAGAACGTGTCACAGTTGATGTTCAACATGCATATCTTGATTCGGTGAGTGACCCTGTTCCACAACAACGCGTCAACTTCGGCGACGCCACGTTGCCAACGCCTTTTTATGCCTGCATCATACAGAAAAGAATTTGACTTGGGAATCCTAGCCGGTTGCCGTATCAAGGGAACTTTGGCGGGAATAGTGCATATTCCGGGGAAAGCCCCTGGCATGAAAAGTCTGGTATCGATACCTGAACCAGCTACACTATAGGATACCGGCGTAATTATTAGGAGGTTCTTCATGAGCATGTGATGCGGCATAAGATAACTTTAATATGCCGATATAATAAGTGCCTGAGAGAAATACATCAGTTCCCGCTTGAGAAAGAGCTTCTACCAAGTTTTTTTCTCACCAAAGAATGATGCTCATATCGCATGCCAGCTTGATAAAATAGCTGTCTATACTAATACTATGTATGAGCAAGCCTACTTGCCATAGCAACTGGAAAGGGATATTCACCGATTTTTTGACCTAGATGATTTCGAGCAGGCCTCAGTCAGCGACTCAGTACCCTCGAATGATAATCGGCACGTTTATAATGGCACATTACTTATATGTCCTGAAGAGTGACCTCAAAAAGTGTGCAGTCATCCGATGTAATGCATACATCGTATTTCAGCCAGTAGCGAAAAGTGACGGAGAGTAGGTCGGCTCTCGGGCCGCTCTACCGCACTCATGCACATGATCAGAGTAACGTAATTACAGCTGGAACTTTTCAACGACCCCGATGCAAGATTGCGTTCTGGTCAATTATTTGCCTCTGATATATATAAATGAACAGGTGCGCTAAATCCCCTAAAGGTACGAGATACGGGTTTTTCAGAGAATGAATCATGATTAGAATGGTGGGTTTGGAGACGGCAAACGCAATAGTCGACATGTTCGTTGACTGTCTGAAGGACTCTAAGCATCAGGCTTTTTGTGGTCATTTGTGTTTAATTCTATGTCTTGAGTCTTACAACTATCGTTGCCTCCGAAGTTATCCAAACCCTTAGGGTATCCCGACACGACATTGGGACTCGATGAACCGTTTCCCTGCTGTCTCTCGCACGCATGAAGAGGCCGTTAACCTTTCTAAATTAATAGAAATGTAAATTTCACTTTGAAAAAAGAGCAATTTCTCTTGGCCCGGCGTCTCGAGGGAAGGTGGAAGAAGTCCTGTGTCAATGGTCGGTATTCTATGCCACACTTTCCTTACGCCCGGTAGTACACAACCATGGGATGTACCGTATCTCATGTGGCAAGCACAAAAGCTTGAACAAAGAGGTCGCGATGTTCTTTGGCCTGCCGAGCCATCAAATTATATTGTCAAAGGTGCAAGTACCGCCGTACAAATGATTTAGCAATGGCTCTGTATCTCTCGCGTTCCTACTGTTATATGCTGGCTCCACATGCTCTATATAGCGGCGGAAAGCGCGTTCATTCTTTCACCTCTTCGCCTTTCTGGGCCGGTTAATAACCGTCTTTGATAAGCACTTGAACGAGCTTAGCACTGGAGGATATAGGAACGACCATATCTTGTCTTTGCAATGATATGCTGAAGTAGACGATGCTGATGATGAAGGAAGGCGAAGGCGCTTTATAGATACGGATGGCTGAAAGGGAAGGCAGGCCCATTTATTCAGAACACATCGACATGCCCCTACGCAGAAGGAGGACATCCCGCATGCCCTGTACTTCTGCAAGGGACAGTAAAAAGCTCAACTAAGTAGAAGTCTTGCTGGTCGTGCCCAACCGCCAATTAACGTCGGTGACATTTTCAGAAAGTTGTCACATGACCGCTAAACACC